ACACATTAACGTTTGATATAACTGAGATGCAGTCAATTGTAAGAACTGTTTCATCTGTCTCTTTGCGTCAGAGTCACGCGTCGGCGAGTTCACCATCACTTCAGCAGTCAGAAGGACGTGCACGTCTGTAAAGTTCGGCATATTGCGTAGCAAGTGAACAACATACTAACCGCAGGAAGAGTCGTTTTGATAATTGAAACGATCAGAGCATGTGATCAGATGCTATCGAGAGTCCAGTCAGAGAAGTTCAGTTACTGTCTTTAAACGGTAGGTTACCCTCAAACTAAAGCCAGTGAAAAACAGTCGTTTTGTTCAAGGAGGGCGATAAGAACGATCTGTAAAACTATTGCCTAATCAACTTGCTCTCGCTGGTCTGTAAGCTGTTCACTATGATCTTCACCACTGGACTGTAAACAAGTCTGGATGAACAGCAGTCAAGAGAACAGGCAAGATTCTGAATCAGCTTCGGCACAACGGGTAACATCTTCACCGTAAGTCAACTTTTCTAGCGCATGAAGGAACTCCAGATCCTTCTGCGTAGCCTTCGTAGAGTACGAAAAAGTGTTCGACGCTGTGCAACACAACGGAGTTTGGGCTGTGCTGGCAGAAGCAGAATCAGCACGTTTTATGAACTAGCTAAATGAAGCCAACGCTGGCTGTTTCACAGATTCGTAACGCTTTTCGAATCTACCTCCGGATTCAAGTACAGATGGGTGTGAAACAGGTGCTTAAAATCTTTCCTAACCTCTTCACTGCCTGTTTGAAAATGATGTTCCGATGTATGAACTGGAATGTTGGGATTTACATCAGTGGTGAGCAGCTCAGCGACGTGATGTTCGCTGCTGACGTGCAGTTATTTATGGTAACTGAAAGTGAACCACAAAATATGCTGCTAGAGCTCGAGGGAAAAAGTGCAGAATTCGGACACGGAATCAATTAATCAGAACGAAGGTTTTGCAGTCGGATGCGGTGGCGTAGATCCAGGTTATATGATTCGACGCAAAGAGCGAAGAAACCGATTTATTATTTACCTGGACCAAGAGATGAACATGCGGAATGATCAGACTGGAGTGATTCAATGAAAAATGAGGGCTGGTCG